TTTAGTCCTGGTTTGGTTCATCCCCGTCAGGTTTAGTCCTGGTTTGGTTCATCCCCATTGGGTTTAGTCCTGGTTTGGCTCATCCCTGTTGGGTTTAGTCCTGGTTTGGTTCATCCCCATCAGGTTTAGCCCTGTTGGGTTGGGTTTAGCTCCAGTTTGGCTCATCCCCATCAGGTTTAGTCCTGGTTTGGTTCATCCCCATCAGGTTTAGCCACATCGGGTGGGGTTTAACTCCAGTTTGGTCCATCCCCATGGGGTTTAGCCCCGTTGGGTCGGGTTTAGCCCCAGTTTGGCTCATCCCCATCAGGTTTAGTCCTGGTTTGGTCCATCCCCATCAGGTTTAGCCACATTGGGTGGGGTTTAACTCCAGTTTGGTTCATCTCTATTTGGTTTAGCCCCAGTTTGGTCCAACCCCATCAGGTTTAGCCCCGTTGGGTTGGGTTTAGGCCCCAGCTGGGTCCATCCCTGTTCTGGTCCATCCCAGCTTGGTTTATCCCTGTTTTGCTCTATCCCAGGTTGGTTTATCCCTGTTTTGGTCCATCCCAGGTTGGTTTATCCCTGTTCTGGTCCATCCCAGGTTGGTTTATCCCTGTTTTGTTCCATCCCAGGATGTTTTTATCCCTGTCCTGGTCTCTCCCTGTCCTGGGGAGGCCCCACCTCGATGTGCTGGAACATGTAGGGGTGGTTGCAGATCTTCCTCAGCTGCATGATCGTGTTCATCAGGGTCTTGGTGCCGCCTTTGCCCTGCAGGGAAGGGCCCAGGGCGGGTTAAAATCTGGGATGGGGGCGGATTCTCCCTCCCAGCATTCCCAGGAATTCCCTGGGAGCCCCCACTGGAGGCTCAGAGACAATCAAAGGGTTTTAAGCTCAGCCCACCCCCCTTCCTTTGCTTACGAAGGGGCTCCAGGGACACTTCCAACCCCTCCAGGACCACGTTCCACAGCTCCAGGAGCACATCCCACAGCTCCAGGGCCACTTCCAACCCCTCCAGGGCCACTTCCAACTGATCCAGGGCCACTTCCAACCCCTCCAGGGACACTTCCAACTGCTCCGGGAGCACATCCCACAGCTCCAGGGACACTTCCAACCCCTCCAGGGCCACTTCCAGCTGATCGAGGGCCATTTCCAACCCCTCCAGGGCCACTTCCAACCCCTCCAGAGTCATTAAAGGTGACACCAAGTCCCATCCCACAGCTCCAGGGCCACCTCCAACTCCTCCAGGGCCACTCCCAACCCCTCCAGTGCCACCTCCAACCCCTCCAGTGCCATTAATGGCGACACATTAACGTGCCCAAAACGGGGCCCGGACCCACCCCGGCCACCCTCCCTCCCTTGGAATTCCCAAATCCCAACTCCAGACCTTCTTGTCCTTCTCGGATCCGTCGGTGAGCAGGACCCCCTTGGCCTGCATGTGCCGGTACAGGACCCGCTGCAGGGCCGACATGTCACACTTGATCACGTACTCCACCTGCCAGGACCCCACAGGGGTCAGACCTGGACCCCCAGAGACACCCCAGGACCCCCAGAGACACCCCTGGACACCCAGAGACACCCACAGACACCCAGAGACACCCCCAGACCCCCAGAGCTCCCCCAGGACCCCCAGAGCCATCCCTGGATCCCCAGAGCTCCCCCAGGACCCCCAGAGACACCCCAGGACACCCAGAGACACCCCAGGACCCCAGAGTCACACCTGGATCCCCAGAGTCACCCCCGGAGCCCCAGAGTCACCCCTGGACCCCCAGAGACACCCCTGACCCCCAGAGACACCCCCAGACCCCCAGAGACACCCCAGGACCCCCAGAGCCATCCCTGGATCCCCAGAGCTCCCCCAGCACCCCCAGAGACACCCCCAGACCCCCAGAGTCACCCCTGGACCCCCAGAGTCCCCCTGGATCCCGGGGGGATCATCCCTGCCCAGCTGAGATCCTGCAGTGGAACCAAAACTCCACGTGTGGATATTCCGGGCATGGAACCCCCCCAGGTGTATCCCGGGATGGGGAAGAGCAGGATGGACCCCAAAATGTGGGATCCCTGTGCTCAGAGAACCCCCAATTCCCAGAGGGATTGACCCAAACACCTCCTCAACCCAACCCAACAACCATTCCAGAGGGGAATGAAACTCCATGTGCATATTCCAGGATGGGGAAGGGCAGGAAGGACCCCCTGGGTGTATCCCAGGGTGTATCCCAGCAGGAAGGACCCCCCCATTGTCACCTTTTCCGGGAGCTGAGCCTCCACCTCCTTCTTGAGGCGCCGGAGCAGGAAGGGCCGGAGCACCTTGTGCAGGCGGCGGATGATGAGGATGGTCTCCTCCTCGTTCAGGTCCACCTGGCCCAGGACAGGGAATGTCACCAGGGATGGCCTGGGATGGAGCCCA